GAATTTTATGCCTAATTGATGGGTGTCCAGGAGCTGCCCTGATGTGATGGTGCCTCCATTTCTGGAAAAGTGGAGATTTGAGAAAATAATTCCCATGGGAGAGGTACCTGACAAAGGAAAGGTGGCTTAGACACCTTGTTGGTACTCAGCGGTACCCGGACCAGCAGCATCAGCATCACCTGTGAGCTTGTTAGAAATGCAAAATCTGGCTGGGTGCAGTAGCTCATGCCTATAATCCCAACACTTTGTGAGGCCAAAGCAGGCAGATAACTTGAGGTCAGGAGTTCAAGACCAGCCTGGCCAACATGGTGAAACCCCGTCTCCACTAAAAATACAAAAATCAGATGGACATGGTGGTGCATGCCTGTAATCCCATTCCCTTGGGAAGCTGAGGTAGGAGAATCACTTGAACCTGGGGAGGCAGAGATGGCAGTGAGCCAAAATTATGCCACTGCACTCCAGCCTGGTGACAGAGCGAGACTCTGTCTCAAAAAAATAAAAATAAAAATAAAAAAGAAATGCAGAAACTTGGCCCCACCCAAGGAGTCAGTATATGCATATTTACAAGATCCCCAGGTCCTTCTGTGCACATTAAAATTTGAGAAGCACTGTTTAGCTAGCACGGCAGCAAAAGAAAGCATAATTGACTACCTGTGATCTAAGTTTCAGGAATAAAATAACCTCCTCTTCTCCTTTTTTTTACAAACCCTTGTGTCGAGGGCTGACTTTCAATAGATCGCAGCGAGGGAGCTGCTCTGCTACGTAAGAAACCCCGACCCAGAAGCAGGTCGTCTACGAATGGTTTAGCGCCAGGTTCCCCACGAACGTGCGTTGCGTGACGGGCGAGGGGGCGGCCGCCTTTCCGGCCGCACCCCGTTTCCCAGGACGAGGGGCACTCCGCACCGGACCCCGGTCCCGGCGCGCGGCGGGACACGCCCCGCGCGGGGCGGAGCGGCCCGCCGGCGGGGACGGCGGGGGACCGGCTATCCGAGGCCAACCGAGGCCAACCGAGGCGCCGCGGCGCTGCCGTATCGTTCGGCCTGGGCGGGATTCTGACTTAGAGGCGTTCAGTCATAATCCCACAGATGGTAGCTTCGCCCCATTGGCTCCTCAGCCAAGCACATACACCAAATGTCTGAACCTGCGTAACCTCCTCTTCTCTATTACCTGCTCCACTCTCTTTGATCTTTAGGCCTTACTTTAAACTTTAAATGTTCTAAAGTTTAGACTAAATTTTAAATGGGCTTAGTGAGTATCTCATTAAATAGTCCATTTTTTCAAAAGATATCTCAAAGTTAAGAAAAATATACATATAGATATTGTGGGACTTTTACCATTTTAAAGGGTTACATAAATTATAAATGGAGGTATTTTTCCTGCTATTTACTACTGGGGTCTGAGTAGGAGCATGACTGGTATTTCTTCAGTTGGGAGTCAAAAACCTCAGGTATACCAGGTGAAGGAGGAAAATGAATTCAGAAGAGAAATGTGTTTCTGGTGAAAAGGGAAATTTCTTGTAAGGGAATGTTATCAAAAGGCTGTAAAGGTCACATGGCCCAACCCTGGTGCCAAAGCTAAATCCCTTTAAGGGACACCTGCAGTATCTACTGTCCCACTCCTGGACATGTGGTGCTTACCACCTTCAAAGGCAACCCATGTCACCACCACACAGCTCTAATAATTAGAGAGCTTTTCCTAAAATTTGTCTCCCTATAGATTTTAATAGCCTTACAATCTATAACTCCACAATTATTTTCTCTACTATTAATTCATCCCCATTATCATTTTTCTATTGTACTTCTCTTTTTTTTTTTTTTTTGAGACAGGGTGTCACTCTGTTGTCACCCAGGCTAGAGTACAGTGGCTCAATCACAGCTCACTGCAGCCTCAACTTCTCAGGCTTAGGTGATCCTCCCACCTCAGCCTTCCAAGTAGCTAGGACTACAGGTGCACACCACCATGCCCAGCTAATTTTTGTATTTTTTGTAGAGATGGGGTTTTGCTATGTTGTTCAGGCTGGTCTCAAACTTCTAAGCTCAAAAAAATCCTCCTGCTCCAGCCTCCCAAAGTGCTGGGATTATAGACATGAGCCTCTACATCCAGCCAATTTCTTATTGGGATTTTTTTTCTTCAAACACAGAAAGTCAAAGAAACAAGTTTCATGTATTTATTTCTCATGGGACTGGGCAGCTGGTGGCAGTAACATATATGAAAATATTAACTTTTGCTTTTATTTTCAGGCACCTTACAAAAACCTTACGTATGCAAGAGGAGTATTTTTAAAAGATGGGTTACCACAAGTTATAGGGAATGTACCTAAGGACATAATTATACCAGAAGTGTAGTTTAAGGTGAGTACTGTCTTTAAATACTAGCCCTAAGCTTCCTGGGAGTCAAAACAGGTATGAAATGGGACAAGAAGGTCATACGTAAAAAATGTTTAAGATTTTCTGGCCTAGGTGAATCACAGATGTTTAGCCTTAGGAAGTGTCTGAGGTCAAGTCTAAATCTGCCACTTACAGAAAAGGAAACTGGAAATCAGAGGCAAAATGACTTACTCAGTATTAGACATCTAGTTAGCAGCAGAGCTGGTTAATGCAGTGACCCTAACCCTGGTCAATGCTCTTTTTTCTATTCTGTCAGACTCTGAGTACCAGGTTTGTTAAGAAAGCTTGTCTAGCAAAAAAATCAGGAATATGGCATCAGCGTCAAGGCCCACCAAGAGCCATGGCTATGGAATATCCAAAAACCAAACCCAAGCCATCCTAGCACAGACAGATAACATGAATCCCCAAATTCACAAGCCTAATACCAAATAAAAAAGTTACATTGGGGCTACAAGCCTTCCTTCCTCCTCTTCTCTTTCCTATAATTCCCTTTGCCCCTATATCCATTGATTCTGAACTGCAAAGATATCCCCACTAAGCAGCTTATTTTAATCTCCTATTAAAATAACCTCTTTCTGATGAGAAGTTCCTGTTCTCAGAACAGTAACATGCCGTGAAATAGTTCATTCTTTCCAAGATACTTGAAGCTGAAGGCTCATAGCATACTGAACTAGAGTCTTTGGTAAAAAGTGAAATATTACAAGAGATCAATTTATCCAGGCATTGCATCACAGGATAGATCCAAACAATATTAAAAGAATCCTTTCTACTCTCTATTTTAAAAAATAACACTTCTGTAGTATTTTAAAGAACAATCTGTTAGAGCGTACGGTGTGAGATGCCCGGTCAGCAGCAATAAATCCATGGAGCTCCCTATGATTGGTTGGTGGGTACCAGGAGCCAGACTGTGAGATCCTAACGGACCGTTGCAGTGACATAAACTCATCCACAGAAACAACCAGCTGTGTCTCGGTTTTTTGTAAGTTTGGGCAGATCACAATTCCTTCAAAGTAATTAATGGCAATCATGCAAAAATGAATTATATGCTTTTTCTATCATTATCTTTCTAAAGTCACGATAAACAAACTCTAGAAAAATTATTAAACCAGGTCCCAGGCATTTCGGGTGAGAAGTTTTACATTCACACCAGTGATTTATGTAACAAAATGAGGAAGGATCTTACTTTGTTAAGAGATGTGCTCATATTTATTGGTTTAGAGTAGCCAATTCCTGGGATAAAAGCACCTAGGAAGCACCTTTTTAGGGTCACTGAAAATAAGTAAATTCTTGATTTAGTTTATCAGATGGCATAGGGGTGGGTGAGACAAATTAATGCCCAAGCCACACCAGTGATGACTGAGGCACAGTTAAATCAGGGCCATAGTTTTCCAGGCTTCTTTGCTGGCGTCAGGTATATAAGATCTCGTGTGGCAAGAGAACAGAATATAAACGCATAGCCCACAGTGAGGCAAAAATGGAAAACAGAAAGAGGCTGGGCTTGGTGGCTCACACCTATAATCCCAGCACTTTGGGAGGCCAAGATGGGTGGCTCATGTGAGGTCAGGATTTCAAGACCAGCCTGACAAACATGGTAAAATCCTATTACTACTAACAGTAGAAAAATTAGCTGGGCATGGTGGCAGGCACCTGTAATCCCAGCTACTCAGAAGGCTGAGGTGGGAGAATCACTTGAACCTGGCGGGTGGAGGCTGCAGCAAGCCGACATCATGCCACTGCACTCCAGGCTGGGCGTCAGAGCAAGACTCCATCTCGAAAAAAAAAGCAACAAAAAGAGGAAGAAAAGCTATGACATGTGTCCATCCCAGAGCACGTCTTCCGTTACTGTTACTCTCATGTGTGTCACACTTCCTGGGGCCACTGAAGTCACTAACCCTGGCAGAGAAGATCGGAATTTTCCTACTCTAAAAGGAGAAACGGGGCAAAATATAGCATAGAAGCTAAGCTGGTGGGAAATTGAGAAGAGAGCTATCTCTATAAACATGTATCAAAAAAAAAAAAAAAAAAGGAAGCCTTGGCCATGCACAGTAGCTCATGCCTGTAGGCCCAGCACTTTGGGAGGCCAAGGCAAGTGGATGATTTGAAGTCAGGAGTTCAAGACCAGCCTGAAACATGATAAAACCCTGTCTCTACTACAAATATGAAAAAAAAAAAAAAATAGCCAGGCATGGTGGAATACACCTATAATCCCAGCTACTTGGGAGGCTAAAGCAGGAGAATCATTTGAACCTGGGAGGCAGAGGTTGCAGTGAGCTGCCATCACACCATTGCACTCCTCACAGCAACAGCCAACTAAGTCTCTGCCTCCCACCCCCACTACCTTTCTACTCTGTCCTGTGTCTTCCAAGGCATAGAACATTCTAGAAAGAAGGTTTTTGCCCTAGTACAGACAGTGTCCTCTTCCTCTCCTGATAGTCCAGGAGACCTGTCCTGCCCCTATACAGCCTCAGGAATAGTCTGCTCAAAACCCATAAACATGACCAGGTCTCAACGTAGTGAGATCCCTGCTCATTTTGGAATACCAGCTTACACCTAGGACCTGGATTAGAAACTTTTCTAGGGCTTGCTTATCTCTACTGTAGAAGAAATCCTTACCTTCAGAAATGGCTTTTCTCACAGCTGCCACGTAGGTCTCTGGCTCATCGTCGCAGGTGAGCTCCTGCCAGTGGACCCAATCTGGGAAGAAGTCCAGGAACTCCTCGCTGTCCCGCACGCCACACAGCAGCCTGACCACGCGGTGCGGAGGATGGAAGGCTCTTTGCAGCAGGGGCAGCAAGGCGGGCTGGTGGAAGAGCTGCACCAGCTCCGCGGACAGCAGCACCACGACACAGCGGGTGCTGAGGAAAAGGCTTAGGTCCTCTGCCGAGAAGGAGGCCTCAGGGCCCAGCCTGTGAGTCAGTATCTTCTGGCTGCGAACCTGCCGACTGGACAGGAACAGAGTCTGCAGGTACTGGCACCATTCCTCGGCGTCTGGGCTGTAGGCGATGAGGATGTCGCATCTTCTGGGCACCCCTGGGCAAGAATAAGGCACAGAAGCATGTTAGCACATCTGCCCTTCTAGGTGGCTCCGCACAACCTGCAAGGGTAGACCATCCAGACGTGGGGTCTGGCACCCACAATCTTTCATGATTTGCCTCCAGCACGCTAGCACACCTCACTCACTAATTTCTTTCCCCATTTACATCCAATCATACCAGACTCCTTGTCTTTGTCCAAACATACTATGCCGTTTTATGTATTATTTCTTTATTAAGAGACAGAGTCTTGCTCTGTCACCCAGGTTGGAGTGCAGTGGCGCGATCTCGGCTCACTACAACCCCTGCCTCCTGGATTCAGGTGATGCTCCTGCCTCAGCCTCCTGAATAGCTGGGATTACAGGCACCGGCCACCATGCCTGGCTAATTTTTGTATTTTTAGTAGAGATGGGGTTTTACCATGTTGGCCAGGCTGGTCTCGAACTCCTGACCTCAAGTGATCCGCCCGCCTCTGCCTCCCAAAGTGCTGGGATTACAGGCGTGACCCACCAGGTGTGGCCCATTTATTTTAGATCCATGCATGAGCCTTTGCTTCTGCCTGGCATGCCCTTTCCCCCCACACCTGATGCAGTATGAGATAATAGCAATAACAATAAATAATAATAATAGCAAAACCAAGTGCTTATAGAGGTTACTGTGTTCCAGGCACTCTTCTAAGAAGCACATGGTCCACTAAACACATTACATCTTCACAGCAACTTTAGAAGGTAGGTACTATTATTAACTCATTAAAAAAAAAAAAATGAGAAACCTGAGGTGTGGCAGGTTAAGTAACTTGCCCAGGATTCACAGCCGAGTAAGGATTTGAGTTAAATTAGATATTCCACATAAACTGCTAAGCATAGTGCTTGTTGTGTAGAAAATCCTCAGTAATTGGTAGCTGGTGTCATTATCCTCACATTGATATAAATAATGTATAATACTAAAGTACGTGGTAGTTGTGGTTGAATTAATGCAGTGACCTCCACAGTATAATTCTCAAGGCATCTCTCACCACACCTGCCACATAACACAGGCTTTCTTCTTCCTCTAACAAAGCACAAATGCCAAAGAGAGAGTCAAAAAGGGCTTGCATGGATCACTTGGCCCAAACTCCTCATTTACAGATGAAAGAAACACTTCATATAGGAAGGTCCAGGGACTTGCTCAACTTCACACTCTAGATTATTGGCAGAGTCAGGACTGATACTCAGGTTGTCCCCTGGTTCCCAGTCCAGTCCCCTTCACAACTCACCTCCCATCAGGAACTATGTCAAGAATCTTATGAATCATAAGCTACAGCTTCCAATTACCAAAGTTCAAAGCAGCTTGCCTCTTCATGTAACTGTTAACCACTGTTTGGGGTCACCATCTCTCCATGAATTCAACAAACTGTTCTGCGAGTGATTTGGAAGAGGTGAGTATAAAGTATTCCATGCAGCATATGACACAACCAGGAACTCAGAGAAGGAAGCAAGTCACATTTTATGAAGGTTGGGAACCATCTAAGTTGTAGAATAAAACAATTAAACACTAGGCCTGGGCCGCATTTCCTGATTTCCCCCAGGATGACATTGCCAAATGTTTAAAAATAGCAAATAAGATGAATATTTGCAGTTTCATTCTTTTTTGCGCCCCGCTGTTTTCTGGAGCCCTCATCCAGTGCTAATATAAAACCCAGCAGGCTTCTCAGCAGGAGCAAGTGGGTGAGCCTGGGAGTATTTTTCAAGGGAAGGTGTACAAATCTTTTAAAAAGTCAATCTTAGACAAACAGTATGGAATGGAGAAAAACAGTCAGCAATTCTGACAATGCCCTGGACATTTGTGGTTCTACAGAGAACTCAATTCTGATCACGTTCTGTTCCCTCAATTGTGAATATAACCATCCTTTTCAGGAATGCCTACCCCGATTCCAAAGCTTAAGCAGATTAAGGATAAAAATTTAATGTACCAGTGCTACAGCCTTCCATAAAAATAAATAAATAAATAAATAAATAAATAAATAAAAATCTTTGCTGTTTGCATCTTTTTTCCTGTGTAGAATATTTCTTTATACCTCAATGGAAAAATAATTTCAGGACTATAGAAGGCATAACATTGGCAAAGCTACATAACTATGGAGCTGACACTGAGAAGCAGATTAAAGTATCAGAATACATTTCCCGTCTTTCCATCCTTCCTTCCTATGCAGCTAGTTTATCTTAAGAGGCAAAGGTTCTCCTAAGTATGAAGTGTTATTGCAGATGTGTATGCCTGGGCATGAGCCATCAGGTAGGAAAGGTACAAGACTTCACATTTCATTGTAATATTAAGAATGTAATGTTAGCGATGGTGTACCAGGAGCCTGGAGCAGTCTGTAAAAATACAAAAGGTTAGCCACCACCTTCCTCCACATACATAGGAGGATCATGTCAACAATTTGTGCAAGAGACAGAAGGAGAATAAAATCTCAGAAAGGGATGGCTGTGGTCCCATATAATTGTGATGAAGAAACCGTAAGTAATGTTTTCATATGGCTAGCAGGTGATGGCAGAAAACGGAAAAAGAAGAAAATTTCCTGGAGCACAAGAAGTACCCTTAAGAAGGCAGCTTGGGGCCAGGCACAGCGGCTCATGTCTGTAATCCGATCACTTTGGGAGGCCAAGGCAGGAGAATTGCTTGAGCTCAGGAGTCTGAGACCAGCCTGGGCAACATGGTGAAACCGCGTCTCTATAAAAATGCAAAAATTAGCCAGGCATGGTGGTGTGTTCCTATAGTCCCAGCTACTCGGGAGACTGAGGTAAGAGGACTGCTTGAGCCCATGAGGCAGCCTGGGTTTTGGGGCACTGATTGACTTAGTAGAAAAGCAGCAACTTTACACTGTTTGAAAGACCATGTGGCCATGAATGACTATTCCAATTTTATGAAGATAATTTAGTGACTCAAAAGTAAGCGAACATTTTTTAAATGACAAACTCTAGGGCCACTGAGGGAATGAATACTCAGTTCCCCCTGGATCCTGTCTCACCAGTTAACAGTACATCATACTTTCTGTTCATTAAAACCTCCAAGTCATCAAGGAAAGTTTAAATTGTAATTCAGCTGTTTCCTGAGCACTGACCGTGTGTCAGTCACTCTGCTAAGCATCTCATGTACATTCTCTCATTTAATCCTCAGAACAATTCACAAAGCATATCAAATAGCCCCATTTTAGAGACACAGACATTAAAACTCGAAGATTTGCTGCTGCTGCTGCTGCTGCTGCTGCTGCTGCTGCTGCTGCTGCTACCCAAGCGCACAGTGTTAGTCAGTGCCAGACCTGGAATCTGACTCCAAAGTCCATGCTCTTAATCTCTAAGTTGCACCCAACTTAAAAACTCAAGGAAATACAGAACATAGTTTAGAAAATACAGTTAATAAGACACATCTAGTGCCATGGGTTTCTCATACCATTCTACAGTAAAAGGATCCAGGGTTCCTTAGAGAAATGATAAATTCTAGGAACTAGTCTAGGATTATATATTTCCTGGGGCTGAAAATATTCAATGTAAGCCTGGAGCATCTTGTAGTGCCAGAAGGTAAATGCTCAAACAAAAATTCAATGACAGGCATATGTCAAAGGAAGATAAGAGTCAATTCAAAGCACCCAATGGCCAAAGCTGGAATCATGTGAGCAACAAAATAAATAAAATAATATTGAATTATAACCCAAAGCATAAAAGAAATATACAAGAGTCCATACTGATATGGAATAAGTAATTGAACAAATACATTGGAGGAAAAAGACAAATCTCCCATGCATAACAATTCAAATAATTTACGTAGATAGCTCCACCCTCAAGGAGGTGGAGTGTAACTCCTTATACAGAGAACTTTCGTCGGGGCTGTGTGGAGTGAGTTCTTTCCAGGGAGTACAGTGTGGAAAGGGAGTGAAAAAGAGGACGTTTACAATAGAGAAACCCAGTGATCAAGGTCAGCATCAACAGTCACAAATCATGTTGAGGGTGTGTGCCCTGAAGACCATGTGCTGAGAATGTCACTTTACCTCTGTGTTCCTCCTCCCTGAAACGCAGCACCTCAGTCTAATTATGGGAAAAAATATCAGACAAATCCCAACTGAGCAACTGAGGGCCATTCTACAAAATAACTCACCAGTACTCCTTAAAACTGTCAAAGTCATCAAAAACAAGGAAAATCAGAGAAAAATTGCAGCCTTGAGAAGCCCAAGGAGACACGCCTACTAAATATAACATGGCACCTGGGATAGGCTCCTGGAGCAGAAGAAGGACATTACATACAAACTAAGGAGAGCCTCAACTTTCAGTTAATAATAATTTATCAATATCAGTTAATTAATGTCACAAATACCACACTAACGTAAGATGTCAGTAATAGTTGAAACTGGATGTGGTCTGTACTATCTTTGTAGTTTTTCTGGGAAACTAAAATTGTTCTAAAATAAAAGTTTATTTAAAAGTACAACTGAAATAAAAAGCAGTTAAAGGTTAGACTCTTTTATATTTAAAAAAACAAACAAACAAACAAAAACAGCTATCCAAAATGTCTCATTCCTGGCCAGGCATGGTGGCTCATGTCTGTAATACCAGCACTTTGGGAGGCCAATGCAGTCGGATCACTTGAGGCCAGGAGTTCGAGACCATCCTGGTCAACATGGTGAAACCCCATCTCTACAAAAAAAATACAAAAATTAGCTGGGGATGGTGGTGCACACCTGTAATCCCAGCTACTCAGGAGGCTGAGACATGAGAATTGCTTGAACCTGGGAGGTGGAGTTTGCAGTGAGCCCAGATCATACTGCTGCACTGCAGCCTGGAAGACAGAGTGAGACTCTGTCTCATTAAATAAATAAATAAATAAATAAATACACAGTGTCTCATTCCTGGGGTTCTAGTGTTAAATCCAATGCCCTTTAAGCAAAAGTATTTCAAGAGAAATTAGTTACTGCCTCAGACTAGTTAACATTACAACCTATTTGGTCACTAACTTGTGGTGTGACTTAGACCAATTAATAAGTCTAGGCAAATTTGCCTTGATGTAAATGAGGACAGTGAAATCTGTCAACTTCCTGAGTATTGCTGTGCTGGGAAACTGAAAGATGGGGAAGTTTTTAAAAAGTCCAGATTGAAAGTTCCAGTCCCTTTCTGATGTGCTGGCTAATAATACAGGACTAAATGCTTTGTCAGCAACACGGGGGAAATCCCTGTCTTCAACAATAATCCTTTTCCTTTAACCATAAGCTGTTTTCTGCTTGTCCCCAATCACTTCTCTCTTTTTTTGCTTGTTCATTTATTAAGAGTAATGAAACACGTGAACCAACAAGGAGTCCAAAAGCCCTAGACAGGAATGAGGAAGGGTCTTTGTCCTTGTAAAACGTTAAGAACAGGTTTGGCTATAGAAGGAGAAAGAAATGAATCACAGTAGAGGAAGGGGAGGCTGTGGCAGCAGGGAGTTCACAGGGTAAGAAGCCAAGGCTGAAAGAGAGGTGGCTTTGCAGGATTCAGAACCCAATGGAGGGCCAGGTGCAGTGGTTCACACCTGTAATCCCAGTACTTTGGGAGGCCACGGTGGGTGGATCACTTGAGGTCAGGAGTTCAAGACCAGCCCAGCCAACATGGTGAAACCCCATTTCTACTAAAAATACAAGAATTAGCGGGGCGTGGTGATGCATGCCTGTAATCCCAGCTACTCAGGAGGCTGAGGCATGAGAATCACTTGAACCCAGGAGGCAAAGGTTGCAGTGAGCCGAGATCACGCCACTGCACTCCAGTCTGAGTGACAGAGTGAGACTCCATCTCAAAAAAAGAGAGAACTCACTGGAGAGAAGTACATACAGGAAGTGCCAGAAAGCTTCTCAAACCATTCAGCCCAGACCATTTCTTCAGCCTGTAGGTGACTCTGGCACCCCATTCATCCATCCTGGAGCCCCGTGTTTGAATCTGACCACCACAGTTGAAGAGGGATAAGAGATAGGGAGGGTGACCAGGATAAGGAGAGATGTGGTCAATCGTATCAGGAGCTTCCCATCCCAGAAGGTGTTCACATTTAGGGACTGGCAAGAGTATTGAGAGTCCTCAAGGACCACGTGGAAGTTAAAATCACAAAAAGGTTGAAAGTCTCTTCAAGCTCCACAGTCCTGTAAGTCCAGGAATAGTAGAAGGATCTAGAGACAAGAGGTGCCTTGGAGAGAAGGGGCAAGAAAAGGTCTGACAGCTGACACACACAAGAGAGTGTCCTAGTCTCTCTTCACCCAGCCACAGACTAGGCCACTTGGGAAAGTCACCCATGGATTTCCTTCCTCTCTCTCATGTGCAAATACACAAGATGCCATCAGAGGCCTAGAGAATCTTGTGGAATAGGCCGAGTCCATTTCATTTTATCTTCCTACTCAAGGTCCTTTCAAAGACAGGGATCCCAGATTCTCCTGGATTTCAACAAGCAAACGCATCTTTCAGAAAATAAGGTAGACTAATGTTTCCCTTTCAGTGGAAGGGAATTTAAGAAGACCAGAGGATTAGGCCATAAAAAGGAAGTACTGATATAAGCTACAGTGGGATGAACTTTGAAAATATTATTCTGTGCAAAGGAAGCCAGTCACCAAAGGCCATATACTATGTGATTCCATTCATATAAAAGCCCAGAGTCAGGAAATCTATAAAGGCAAAGTACATCTTAGGTTTGTGGGAGGAGAGGAGAATAAAAGGGTAATAACTAAAGCACACAAGGTTTCTTTTTGAGGTGATGAAAAAGTTCTAAAGTTGACTGTGGTAATGGCTACACATACCTATGAAGATACTAAAAATCACTGAATTGTACATTTAAATGGATGAATTGTGTGGCATATGAATTATGTCACAATAAAGCTGCTTTTTAAAAAAGAAGAACCTACAGAAGCATGGCTGGATGACTCCAAAGCCCACAGTACCTTGGTGAGAGGCACTGCCCTCACCACTGTGACCTGCCCCCGTGGGTCATTGTCCTTCCAGGCCTCAGGAAACCCAAGGGACTCCGGAGGCCCAACTCTCAACTACAGCACCTGGAGTGATGTCTCGCCACAGAAGATGCAGACAGCAAGACAGTTTGACAGCTCGAACCATGAAAGACACCTGCAGAAGCTGCTACAGAGCCCAGAAATAGCCCAGGTTTGCCCACTGGATGAGGGTCCCTGCTGAACCGGAGCCTCTTCAGCCATGCCCATTAAAGACATACACATAGGACGCTGGACAAGAGGAAAAGAGAGGCCACTTTCTCAGCCTCTTCCGCCCAAAGGCCCTCCCAGTTCGTGGTTTCCTGGACTCGGCAGCCCAGGGCCTGTCCCCGATCACGGAGGGAAGAAGGCAGCTTCACTGGTTTATTCTCTGACCTCATTTCCCTCTCCCCACAGCCCACCCTGCTTGCTCTCTCTCCTTTAACACATCACATACACTCATTGCTTCGAGCACTCTTTCCCAAAGAGCCCCCTCCCTCTCCTCCTTCAAATCTTGGTTCAAATGTCCCTTTCTCCGCCCAGGCCACCTCATTTACAGTTCTAATCCCAATCTTCCTTATGCTTCTTTATTGTTTTTCCATAGCACATGTCATACCAGGGACTCTCCTTATTAAATGTATATTACCTGATATTATCAGGCCTCCTTGTTCACAGTACAGCTTCTTTTAGCCTCCAGAGCCCAGATGGAGAACCAGGAGGCTATGATTAACTACCTTCCCATCCCCTTTAGATAATGAGCCTGCAGCATTAAATCTAATAGAACCATCACCCCTAGCCTTTTCTACCTTTGCTTCCAAAGCACCGTTACCAGGGTACACCTCAGAGGATCTGGGGAGAGCTGGCTCCTCCTTCCAGTTTTGCTCACCTCCTTTAAGAACAGTGCCTTCTCCTGGCCACCTAGATTTTCTTTTTTAAGGGACACCTGCAACCTGTTTTCACGTTATCCCTCCTAAAACATCATAAAGTGGGCTGAGAAAATACAAGTAAACCCATTTGCCAACATGTAACTGTACCTCCTCTCATTTAGTGATTCCTTATTTACTTACTGCTTTCCGTTACAGGACCATAAACTCCTGGAGAGCAGGTGCACAATATCCATTGGAATGCAGGTAGTAAGGACTCGTCAATTGTGTCTATTATCATCATTATGTGGTTTGTCCTGGATGTCCGTGAGTGAGCCACTTGCCAAGTGTGTACAACCATAAACTAGAAGGGAACCCAAGAGCAGCCAAAAAAGACGCCTGGCACCTGTGATGGGTACATTTACCCAGTGATCGTCAACTCTCCCCATTCCCCAAAGTTCTGCAAAGGACGCAGGAAAAGTAAAATTCAAGGAATAGTGTTCCCAGATCCGTAGCAAAGTTCTAGACCCAAAACACAAAGCCTGGGACGGTGGAGGAACGGGGCTTGGGAAGCTGTCCCAGGGGCCCTAGCTGACCTCTCCGCACCACCTAGGACTGCCTGAGCGCCCCTCTGTGGGTTCACGGAGCCCGGGAAACGCATCTGGCCACGTAGACCGTCCGCACCACTCGCCCTCTGCTTCTCTCAACTCGCCTCTCGCTTCAGAGTCGGAGGACCAGGGCAAGACGCTCAGACACTCCGAGGGCCAGAGGTGAAGGGAGCAAAGGAGACTCAGAAGAAGGGGGAGCCGCAGGCAGGGGCTGAAGAGAATCGCGCAACAAGCTGAGGCGGGAAACATGGGAAAGTTGGGGCGGGAAGTTTGCGACGCGAAACACAGGAAAGAGCAGAAAGGACGCAAGATCCCCGCACTGAAGACGCAAACGCGAACCGGCGAGCGCGCCCTGAAGGGTGCCGGGGGCGAGAGAGGGGCCGGGCCCGGGTGGGGCGCGCGGCGCCTGCCTACCCACCTGAGGCTGCCATGCCGTCGGGCGCCGCTCACATCCCCGGCTCGCTGCGTGGCCCGGGCCTGGGCCGGGGCCGGCGGTGTCCTGGCGCGGGCAGGAGGGGAACCCGGCTCCGCGCAGGACCGGCCGCCGCTCTGGCGCTTCCTCCCCCGGGGCAGCCTGGCCTCGCCGCGGGGGCGTGTCCACAGGGTCCGCCCCTCCTGCTGGGCTCGGCCCGCGGCACCTGCACCCGCGGCCGTTGGGGAGGGGAAGTGAGAAGCCCAGGCCGGCCGCCGGCCAGCACCCCCACACACACAGCCCCCTGCTCAGGGGCAGAGAGGAGGCCGGGGCTTCGCGCCACGTGCGCCCCACTCCTCGGGAAACCAGCCCTGATCTGCCACCAAAGGGCAGCCAGGGGTGGAGGGAGAGTGAGGAGAGGGTGGAGTGAGAGTGAGGAGGGGGCAGAGGGGGAGTGTCGGGGTACCAGGCCTCTGGGCGCCGGGGCGTGGTGGGGGGGTTGGGGGGAGTATGCACCAGCTGTCCAAGCCACCTCCTCATCCCCTGGGGCTCTGTCCCTAAGCCCCTGCTGCCCCAGCAGGAAAGGGGAGGGGACAGGAAGGGGAAGAGGAGGGCTGGGCACCTGGCCGTGGGTGCTCGGGATTGCCCTTGCGTGCCCTCCTGTGACCTTTCTGCAATTCCTTGGATCTGGTCTCCTGATGGCACATGAACATTGATTGTAATCTCACATGACAAATGTAAAATAATAGAGTTTCTCTGCCATTCATTTCCTGTGTTGCTCTCTGCTGGGCGCAGCTTTTAGCACCTTACACACGTTTTGCATTGTGTCCTCACAGAAATCCTCTGAGGTAGCGCCTATCACTATCTGTACATTAGAGCGAAGAAACAAGCTTGCTCAGGCTTCCACAGAGAATAAAAGCTCCTGGAGGTTCAGTACGAAGCCAGTCTGCTTCAGAGCTAGCCTCTTGCTTAACCTTTGTCTTCACCTGTCCTCTCCTTGGACTCCTCCCTTTGCCTGCTACTGAAATTCACCTAAATAGCACATGCCCTTGGAGTTCTCAACAATCCAGGGGCTAGAGGATGGAACCAGAAAGCAGATAGGAGGGATATTAGGGCTAGTCTAGGTGGAAATAAATGAAATGGAGCTAAGAATGGGAATATCAGGATGAGGCCATGCATTCATTTTCCACTCTTGCCATAATAAATTAATACACTTTTAGTGGCTTAAAACAATGGCAACTTATTATTTTACAGTTCTGTAGCTCGGAAGTGTGACATGAGTCTCCATGGGCTAAAATCAAGGTGGAGGCTGGGTTGGGTTTCTTTCTGCCAAATAGAAGGGAATCCATTTCCTTGGCTTTTTCAGCTTCTAGAAGCCATCCACATTCCTTGGCTGATGGCCCCCTTGTTCCATCTTCAAAGCCAAATGGCCCTGCTTCTGTCATGACATCTCTTTCTCTGACTCTCTTCTGTCTCCCTCTTCTTGTTTTAAGGACCCTAGTGATGACATTGGGCCCTCCCGGATAGGCCAGGAAAATCTCCCTATCTGAACAACCTTGCCTGAACACTGGTCTTCCTGACTACCCCCTTCCTTCTCTCCCCGAAGCTTCTCTGCCTCTTCACAAGTCCCTGGGCCTGGCTAGTTTGTGTTCTTTGTCAGAGACATTTCTGCTGAGGGGGCATCTGTCCATTCAAGGTCAACTCCCTTGGCGTTCCCACTGTTCGAATGCATGTTCCTCCCTTCCAGCTCTGGATGTTAGGGAGAAAGGGCCCTTTCTTTCCTCCTAACCAAGTTCACCTGGACAACTTTTAACCTAAAGGATATTTTGGCTTGTTAAACCATTAGAAGTCCCCTACAGGTGCAGGTAAGGTTTTGGGTGCCAGGTCAGCTATCCAAACTCTGCTCCCATTCCTGCAATAGCACTGACCTCTCGAATTGGGGCAAGATAAGAACTCAGAGGCCAACAGTCCCTTGGTGAGAGGACGTGACTAGTCCCTGACTCTGGCAGTTTCACTCCATTTCTTTGTAGAGCAGGTAGAGCCAGATTGGGGGAAGTAGTGTCTGTTTGCTTTTGTACCTCCATTTGGCGAGTTTTGCAGAATGGGAGTGGTGGGGATAGGGAGGCGAGCAGCTGCCCCTCTGGAAGGCCCTGCTCTGCCCCCAGGCACTGGCTCTCCTGAGCAGGCTCTGCAGTCCGTCCCTGCAGCACTGGGTGGTGGGCGAATGGGCTTGAGGAAGAATGGAGAACATGACCTTGACTGCTGCCCTACAGCTCTGTTTGGCCTGGCAAAAGGGAGAGGTTGGAGAGGTAAACGTGTCATCTAAGGAACGGGGGCCTGAGGGCAGGGTGGCAGAAATCCCTGCTTCTTACATCTTCAGGATGTTATTTCATAGTCTCTCAGACCTGGGGATCAGAGCCTTTTCCCCGGTTTGGAAAACCTCGCTTGCTAGGACAAAATGTGAGGATGGAGGAGTGTGTCACCATGGATACTCATGATCCATCTTAATTCTCTTAGCTATCCTATGAGGAAGGTACTAAAAGTACACGCATTTTACACATAAGCGACTTTTGCCCAAGGGCACACAGCTAGTAATTGCAGTGCTGAGTTTTGAACACGGACAGTCTGGCTTCAGAGCCCATGCTTCTGCCACTAGATTAGGTGGTAAATGCTTGAAGCAGGCCCTGCTATGACATAAGGGCCCCACAAGTCACCACCAGCCTTTGTTGGCATCACCTAACATTGCAGGTAGACAGTAGCTCTCTGTCACCTGTGAGCTCTGCTGCTCTGACAGAATTGCCTTACTCTCACGAAGAAAAAACATCCATAAAAGTCCCCACCTTGGAGCACCCCCCGGCATCCCCCACCTCCCTGCCCACCTCCCTGTCAGTGTCCTGTGAGGCCATCAGCGTCTTGATGGCAGGGCTGTGTGTCTTTCACCGCTGCATCTCCGATGCCCAGCACCAGGCCCAAGCACACAGTGCATGTTTAACTGCTTTGTTTGTTTTTAAATTATCAAGGCCAACCTGCTCGTTTTACAGATGAAGATGCTGATATACAAGCTGAATGACCTGCCCAAGCTCCCACAGCTTTCATTCAAAGGACTTGTTCTTTGTTTTGTTCGGCAGAGCAAGAGGACTCAGGCGTGTTCGTATGGATACAGTAGAGTTCGTGGACTGGACTCTGTGGGACTGGCAGGTGACAGGTAGGACATCACAGGTGGGGACAGGGAAAAGGAGTTTGAGGGCACCAGTGCCTGTTTTTGCCTTGTGAACTCCCTGGCTTTATAAAGACTCCTGCCCTTCCTGTCTGCCTGAGACAGTTTCAGCCCAGTAGGGTATCATATCAAAACTCGATACAGGTAATTTGGGAACATTTGTAGCTTTTAGGAACTGTATTCTTGCAGATGAAACCTAGAAGCCTAGCCCTCCTTCCCTGCTCACCGAAACGGACCCTCTCCATGAAGGCCCTGCCACAGCCTATGGGTCCCTCCTTGGGCCATTTTGAGTGATGGCAGTGCCCATTTCTAGGCCCTGAACCTCAAGTTCAGAGAAATAAAATGTTGGGTATCCTACTACGTGGCTCTGATAAGGTAATTCACCTGACTCATGGCCACTGGGCTAGTAAGAATCAAAGCTAGATTTTGAATTCGAATCCATTTATTATGCCAGAATTGCCTCCCTCGTCATGTGTTGTGATTTAGGAGCCATGACAGCTGTCTCATGGCCACTGTTCTCATGACAGCTCAGGACAACACCCTAGAGCAGTTGTGCCACCTTGCTGATTCACACTGAGCATGTAGTCACCTCAGAACGCCAATTCTTTTTCATGTAACTTGTAGAAGCCATGCCTTTCCCTCTGCCATACTGCAGTCGTACAGGTTGTGTTTCCTATTTTGGTGGTGGTGCTTGGAAGCCAACTGCAATAATTTAATGTTTAATTAAACATACAGGCCAGGAGCAGTGGCTCATTCCTGTAATCCCAGCACTTTGGGAGGCCTAGGTGGGTGGATGACCTGAGGTCAGGAGTTCAAGACCAGCCTGGCCAACATGGCGAAACCCTGTCTCTACTAAAAAATACAAAAATTAGCCAGGCGTGGTGGCAGACCCCTGTAATCTCAGCTACTTGGGAGTCTGAGGCACAAGAATCACTTGAACCCGGGAGGCGGAGGTTGCAGTGACCAGAAATCATGCCATTGCACTCCAGCCTGGGTTACAGAGTGAGACTCCATCTCAAAAAAGAAAAACAACAGCAACAGCAACAAACATTATATGTTAGATTGGGGCCAGTGTTCCAGCCTGCCAAGCTTGTTCCAACTCAGGCTTCCATCACTGACAGCAGAATTTAACAACTGGTCTACCAAAAATAACTTGAGCAACAAGAAAAAGAAGTGTCACAGAGATTGCTCATTGCCCACCTAATATTTATTCTCCCCTAATTTCTTAGGAACAGAATTCCAATTTTATTTGGAGACCACAATGTGCTCCACTAAAAGACCATTCCTCAGCCTCTCTTGCAACTTAGAGGAGACTGATGAGGTGTAAATGGAAGTCATTGGCTGGGGTGTCCCAGAAAATTCTTTATAAGAGACTTAATTAACTGCTGACACACACCTTTCTGCTTGTCTCCCTTTCTTTTGCTTCCTGCCTGTAATGTGAATGTGATGGCTGGAGCTCCAACAGCCCTCTTAGATCAAGTGGTGACTATATGGATGGACCCCATACACTAAAGATGATAGAGCAGAAAGCTGGGCCGAGCCTGATTCCCTGATGACCAAGGAGCTCCCAAACAAGCTCCAGTTTTCACATATCTGACATCCTTTACAGGAGAGGAAAAACAAATATGTCTGTCTTGATCCAGCCATGATTATCTGGGTGTTCTGCTATGTGTAGCCAAACCTAATTCTTTACTGATAAGGGAATGGAAGCTAGCATTTATTGAACACCTACTATGACTTATGAACTCTCTTAAGCTATCTCAGTTAATTCTCATAATAATTCTGCATGGTAGGTATTCACTTCACAGATGAAGAAACTGAGAGTAAGTTAGATTAGATCATGTTTCCTAGGTCATTCAGCAGGCAGCAGACCTGGACTTAGATCAAACCCAGATCAGGGCCAGGAGTGATGACTCATACCT